TTTCCCACTTCAGATACTTGTTTGAAATACCAGGTTTTTTAACTTCTCTTGCAGCAATAAAACACACTTCAACTTTGGTAAAAATACTTGATCACTGCCCTAATTTATAATTTATTTTGGCATCCCTGTTAACATGGAATGAATTATCAAAGAGGAAAAGTATCCATTAATCATAATACATTTTCAATTTTGGACTGTTTTCTTTTAGCCAATTATTGACTGTCATTTTTAATATACAATTATAAAGAAAAGAGTTTATTGTACATTAAGAATCTCTCAAACATTAGAAACACTATTGATATACAAGCAAAAAAATTGTAAACAAAGAAAAAATATTTAGTCATTCAACTACTCTTAATTCATTCTGATCTTCCGAATATTTAAAATCAAGCTTTTACTCGTACGTAACAAGAATTACTTCAGGAAACTGTTATGGCTTGGGTAGACTAACCCAGCATTCTGAAGAGTCCAACTTCCCTTTTATTTAAATAATGGTTTTTTTTTTCAAAAAAACCAGACTCGTCTTTATACTGCTGCCACACTCATGACCCTCTGAAATATTTCAGAATCAAAGCATCTTCGTAGAAAACTGGAAGAGATACTCTAACTTGAGGACAACTTAAGGAGATTTAACAGCAGCAGCATGGGTGTGAAGGTAAGTACAGGTAACAGTTGATCTAAAGTGCTTTGGACTGCCTGGGCTTAAACTGAAAGATTATGGTTTTTAATTGCAGATAATTGTTTCACTTGTAAAATTTTTTATAAGAATACCTCAGGAACTGCAGCTTCCACTAGCAGAGGTGGAGATATACATCCACTTTCCTGGGTAATCCCTATTGGCTGATAAATGACTTCAGATGGTTGCAGATACATGAATGAAGGTGAAGAGGCAGGAGACTGAAATAAAAAACATTATTTGCATAAATCATGATTTATGCACTACAAATACCAAAGCTTATTTTACAGTCACCTTTGCTACATATAAATGAAGATAAAGCTTCTAAAGAAAGTGTCAAATTCATTGTTGATAACATAGAAACTAAGTAAGGGGGAAGCAGGTATAAAGGTCAGGTAGTAGGATAAACCAAAGATGTATTTTAATCACTTTCATATATTTTTCAGGTATCATTTACATTTTGGAGAGCATTGTTAGAAAATCCTAAAATTTATAAAACTGACACTCTCAAGATCACAGAAACACAATACAATTTTCTCCCACGAAAATATTACATTTAAAAAACCAAATACTTTTGTTTTAAAATAAAACCCACAGCATTTCTGTAATTCAGCACCCAGATTTCAAAGCAGCAGACCAACACCTATTAATAGAGTGGAACTGACCGTAACTGGACAAGGCTGGCTGCTACTAATGGAATGAAGGACACACTGATAGTTCAAGCTTAAGGGACTTGGTCCTCCTTTCAGCTTCAAACCCTTCAAATTTCTTGTTGTCAAGATTTCCATATTAAGCTCCTCTGCTACAGAAATCACAAAACCAATAAAGTCTCCCCCCAAAATTACCAAGTTAGCAACTTCAAGTTCTTCCTCCTATTTCAAGGGTCTGGGTCTAATTTCACCACACTTGTGTGTCTACATGCTTCTGCTAGCAATACTATAGTGAAACACCACAGTTAGTATCTGTTAACAAGCTAATTAATACTCATTTCTCCTATCAGGCAAAATACAGCAGTTTTTACCTGCTTCTGAGAACTTACTAGATAATTTAATACAAACTTTTTGCCAGAGGGAGAGAGCAGGGGAAGATTCTTTCTTTACATCAGATTTGTATTTGATGCTTCAATAAATGCTATTTTATGCCTTCTATTGTATCAGCAAGTGTTGCAAATGCATCACTAAAATATAGCAATTAATATTTAAATATTTATTTCAACAGTGTTGTGAATAATGGAACATTTCACTGTTAGATAAGCACACTGTACCTTTATACTAGATGCAAACTACTGGTAAAATGCTGCAAGTACGAGCTGTATTTACCTGTGGAACAGACCACTGCCACTGACTTGGAAGACGCTGTGTTGGTGCCTAAACTCAAACAAAAAGATATTACTTACATGATTAATAATATATGCACACACATACTAAAATTTCCAACATACTACAATCAAAACCATCTCAAATCTATAATCAATTCTTAACTAAAAAGAAGAAATACAATTTTTATTAAGCCCCCCCAAATAATTCAGGAACATAGTGTTGTCCCCTTCCACTCAGCCTTTGACCAGGGCATCGTATAAGCTTCTAAAATACTGAAGCATGTAAGAAGCATGCCTAATTAGGAAAACTAAGATATGAAGTGCAGTTAACTTTCCAATGCACATTAAAAACAGGGACATACTGTATAAATCTAGTAGTGAGCCACCAAGATGGTTAGGGGATTGGAGAATAAACATATCAGGAGGCTCAGAGAATTGGGTTTGTTCACCCTTGAGAAGGATAAACATGCAAGGGAATTATTATTGCTGGCTACCAACTACCTAATGGAGAGAGAGTGTGTGTGCCTAAGTACAACTGAGCCAGATTCTCCTAAGTGGTGTTCAGAGCACAAAAGTCAATGGACACAGGCTGGAGCACTGACAATTTTAACTGGTTATAAGGAAAAAAAAAGTCTTTTACTATGAGAAAGGTCAAGCATTGGAAAAGGCTGTCAAGAAAGGCTGTGGAGTCTCCATCACTTTAAATATTTAAAATTCAAAGCAGCAGACTAACACAAGCTCCTGAGAAACTTGATCTAACCAGTCCTGCTTTGAGCAGGAGTATGGCTTAGACGATAAAAGGATGGTACTAAGCCAGCTGTCTACCAACACCAAAGAACATTAATTCATTACTTTTCCATGTAGTTACCTCAGCAGAATAAAAGAGATACCTGATAATGGTACGCAGGAGGCTGATAAACTGGTTGAGCTACCATCACAGGTGAACTGGAAAGGGAGCGTGACTTAAGAAAAAAAGAGTTACAAGTCTTAATACAGCAATTTCATAAACTGTCACTCCTGTTAAGAGCAGTTCTGGAGCACTATAATGCTGAACCACCTTCCCTCCCTTTTGGAAATGGATTTACCAATTTTTAACTTACCTATAGATTCTTTGAAATCACTGTTTCTAAGGGCCTACATTAGAGATGAAAAAAATCTGTGGCATATTCACTTAGTTCTTTCCAGACACCACTAGGGTATCACTATCTAGAGATGCTAAGGCCATCCACTACCCTGACCATAGGTACGTTTTTGTAAACATTTAAGGCAGCCTAAGTTGTCATTGATGTATTCCTACCCTCTCCACAGCCCCAACTCAATCTTCCTTTTTTCCATTCCCTACCTCACACCAGCCCCAGCATTTATCTGATTTGACAGTGAGCCAGTTCAGTGAGCTAAACCAACTGGAAACTTGCCTGAGTTTTGTAGGGGTCCAGTTTAGGGTCAGAGAAACACCAGTGAAAGAAAGGGGGAACAGAAATACATGGCCACAGCAGAGAAAAATACAGCACTGTGAACCCTAGTTCTGATTAGTTAAAGCTAGTGTGTGCAACTCCCATGTCATGAAATTCCCTCATTCCTGCAAATATTTAGGAAAAAACAGCTTCAAAACCACTTAAATTCATTCTACACTATATGAAACTGCAGAATGCAAAACGGAAAAAGAAAAGACCCAATCTGCACTTACACATGCACAATACAGACCAAAAAGTATTATTATCTTTAATTTGATTAATGTTTTCTGTAACATCAAATTTGCAGTTTTTTTCCTTAACTTCTTTGCATAGGTACTTTCCTAGTGATGAAAACTAAGAATATGTAAATAACTAAAGCCAAAAGAGGCAGCACTATTTGTAACTGGAAAAATTGACTGCCATTGGTTCGAAATGCAGTGGATCTGTGCCATGGCACCAGAATCAAAGTTCAGTACTAGAACACAAAAAAATACTCGTTATTTTTTCAACAGGTAGGTTTTGAGCAAGTTCTCTAGAACTATAGAGCACAAGCTTCAAAAAGGTTTCTAGAAGTATCTAAACAGCTGCTTATACTTATCCTCTAAAGTTGAGAAGGCACTATGAAACACCACATCATGCCTCTGTCAGAAGAGCAAACACCTCAGAAGAAAAGTCATTAAAACAGGAGGTTAAACCTGATAAAGATTCTTCAGTGCCAAAATAAACAACATAAGAGACTATATTACTGCCCTCATCTCTGTTTTAGGAAAGTTTGTTTTCATTTATTAGTAATTCTTCTATTGAGTTTTTCACCCCAATATGTGAAGGGAATTTCAGCTCACTCTATATATAGACGGTATGTACAGCCTCTATGAATGCTGCTTTTACGGAAATTAGTAACGATGCATCACCTATGTAGGTTCTGTACCTTATGCAGGCCCTATCAGTCTTGCAATCCTTCCCTCTTGTGGAAAAAAACCTGACAGGATTGACAGAGTTTCTTGGGGAGTACAGAAAGGAGTTGTGAAAGTTCCAAGCCTACTAAAGCCAAGCAATTAATGAACTATCTTCCTCCTAAACCAAGCTGTATTCTTAGGGGAAAAAAAAAAAAAAAAAGTATGTGAATGGCTATAAAATTACCCAATTTCACTTCTGCTTTGTTGATCTAGTATGTTCTCTTTTCATTCTCAGCATAATAGCTTGCAGTCAAGAACACCTCACTAGCAGAGGAATAAGAAATGGAGCCAATCAAGGGTCATAAGCACCACCAATAGCTCCTTAGTAAAACAAAACCTCTCATGGGGCTGATTCTGAACTACCCTGCCCAACAGGTCACAGAAAGCAAGACTCCTCTACAGAAGAACAATAAACAAGTAATATTTACAATTACTTTACAAGTAATACAAAATAAAAAGAACAATCTAAGGAAGCTATTTAAATATCAAACATTAGACATAGCCAAAGAAACTGGATGCAGGAGTGAAAACACTGCACTCATCCTGGTCCACAGAAAGGCATATATAAAAAAATAAACTACTTACTGGCCATGGCTGCGGAACAGAAGCAACTTCAGATGTATGAAAATAAGCCGCTCCATTATGGTAAACATAAGGATATCCACTTGAAGTAAAGTACATCGTACCAGCTTCAGGTATTAGAGTAGAACCTGGAATTAATATTTTAAAGTTTACTTACCAGATCATTTCTAATCTTCAGAGAAGCAAAACACTCAAAGGAAAGACCATGGAGCAGTATGCCTAATGTCATCTCAATTCCCCTCTCAAACACAAAATCATGAAAGCAGATGGTTACAAAATGTCTCCAGAGGTAGATGGGAATGGGTGCAGAAGATGACACACAAATTACTGAACACAGATAACTCCAGATACCAGGTAATATATATATATATTTTTTTAATCTTCAAATGTCCAAAGGTAACCTCACATTGTAGGAGATTGTAATTTGTAATCTCCACACACTCATATTTAGCTGGAACAGGATCCAAGCACTAAAAACAACAGAATGATTTCATGACAAGGTGCAGCATAGTTTCTCAACACACAAAGACAGACTGTGTTTCTGTGATAGCACATAGCCTGGCAAAAGTAAAAACTGGTATCTAGAAGTCAGCAACAGGGACACTTCTAAGCAATGCTGCCACTACAGCAGATGCTGTAAGTCAGCATGGTCTGATCTGAAAGCAGAGTTCCGTTCATGCAGCCCTCTAACAGATACTGACAAGCGTTATTCAAATAAAGGGATATTTATCTCTACACAGAGGTTGTTTATCTTTTTTCAAACATTGTCTTTGAGATCACCTAGACTATTTCTGTCTGCATTTTGGGGGAGGGATGGGAGAGGACTTCATGTTTCTCTAGAACATTGTCAAACACGAAGGCAAGTTTCAGTTCCAAATGTAAAGACTTCCATAGGAAAAAAGGAACATTGATTCTGTAACTGAAATTGAAATCTTGAAATCACAGTAAGTAGTAACATAGCATGGCAATAACTCAGAAAGAACACAATACAGAGATCACTGAACAAGTTTTAGTTTTTCAACTCCCTTGCAAAGATAAGTGCCATGAGGAAGTGCCATTTTACGGACATACACAACACTCAAGAGGTGAGTAGAACGCCAAGTGGAAGACCAAGAAGGGTCCCACAATGATTCAAGAGCTTTTATCAACAGTAAGAGTTTGACTGATGCCTACAAAAGCCTGAAGACACTTGGACACAATAAAGCTGAAATATTATCCATAGACAGGACAGGCTAAGATGGTTAAGTACAGTGTCAAGCAGACCTTAGGAAACTTAAAGGCTACTTTTGCTGCAGTAAGCAACCTAGGATAGCAGTTACTGATATATCAAATGAGGAGACCAACAGGCTCTCATGGCCAACTATCCTGTCCACTTCACTAACTACCAAGTACATCGCACAGAAATTTCTGCTGTTGTTGAATAATACATCTCTTGCAAAGGAAAAGGAAATATTCTCCAAACCCAGCAAAATCACTGACAAAAAAAAAAAAAAAGAACTTGGAGGAGGTATAGTTATCTGAAATTCTTCTAGCCTACAGCAATTCATTGTTTGTCTTCCAGTTGCTCATGTTTGGTTTCTACTTTTCAGTTTTTCGAATGCCCATTTTCACAATACTTAGTGCTGGGGAAAAGTAAACTGAGTCGTCCTCCCAGTATGTTCAAAGCTCTCAGCATAAAAGGTCCTACAATGACAGAAAATAAAAATCGTTTCACTTAACAGTAGGGAAGACAGGTACTACATTGTAGGTGGGCTGGGGAGGACAGCGACAAACAGGCTCTCTCCAATTCCACTAAATATAATAGAACCACAGCCCTACAGTGATACCGTGAGTCTTGGTTTTATGGCTTCATGAACCTAAAGACAAGCTGCAGCAGGACAAAGTATCCTACTGACTAAGGTTAGTCAGTCTGAGCACCAGAACAGACACACTAAAATCAGATCCTAGGGTATGTCCCCAGATGCCAATATGATCTTGTATCACAGATCTATCCTAGGTCTGAGGAAAAAGTGGCAGAGTCAAACAGGGCCACAAAAACAGAGATCTCAAAATGGCACAGCAGCTTTCTTCAAAAAATGTTTGAGTGTTTAGTCATCATCCTGCCTGCCCCCCTGGTTCCCCAGGTCCCAGAATTAAAATGCATAGTCAGACAGACACCCCTCTTCTATCAAAACACACATTCAGCACTAGACCTAGAGGGAGGAAGCACAAGTCAGGCAATGCAACTGGGAAAGTCCAAATCAAAGACGGAAAGGGAAATAAAGCACAGCAAAAGAAAAAAGCATAACACCTTGATGACTGAGCAAAGATCATGCTAAATAATTTCTAGAGCAAAGAAATTACACAGTTGGAACAAAGTACGCTACTTCCCCTGTGCAAACACTATCCTATACACTTACAAGGGAGAAGGGCGTACCTGTGCATGAGGGGAGGAAGAGAGGGAAACTTCCTGTCTGCAGATAATGTCTGCACCAACAGTGGTAGTGTACATACGAATACTTATAATTGATAACATGACAGTAACACCTAAACAAAGCTTTAGAATTAAATTAAAAAAAAAAAAAATCTTCTGTATTGTCCTCAGACAGAAGACAAGCAAAAAAAAATTTTAACTCTTCCAGAGGGTACCGTACAACAAATACTGAAGGAAAGCTACAGAAGTATACTTCATTCCCTGCTGCACTTATAAAAGGAAAGTATTTTCCATCTCTGACACATAGCCCTTACTAAGGAATAAAAACCCAGCATGCCCTGTTATGACAAAAAATGACAGATCTGTTTTTAAGAGTTGGTGATTTATATCCTACATTTTTAGTAGTGTATTATAAAATTAAAGCAGCCCCTGGCCAAAGGGGAGGTCATCTTCTCTATAAGAAAACTTGTCTTCTGCCTCCCCGAAAAGAACACTTTAAGAGCATACTTGCTCAAGACAAAGAAGTCATTTGACAAAGAAAACTTATCAATACTCCTCTTAAGTGTTCTATCTAAATAGTTCTTTTCCACAGAGTGAACCTACAGCATCCATTCCGTTATCTTACAGCAAAAAACTCTTAAGAACCAAATGGTGACTGTAACCACCCATTTCTTGTGGTTTCTACCAAAGAAAACAAGATGCAACAGTCCTCATGGATTTTGCCAATATAAATAAATAAATCAGTAACCACCCAACCAACCAATCAGCCCACTTTCTCCTGTAGAATCTGTGAGGGCAGTTTAAGTGTTTAGATTTGAGGTTCTGCCTGGCAACTGAAAAATTAGTTTCTAGATAGATAACCTTTTCCAAAAAAGAAAATAAACAACATACTGAAAGAGATAAGAGAACCAAAAAGATCATCAATCCATTTATTTGGACATTTCCACTGGCATGCATTACTTACCCTGCAAACCATTCTGAACATATTCCCTGCACAGCATCCCTGCAGTGCAAGACCAGGCAAATCTTGGTTAAAAACTTACATTCATAATGACACTTACATAATATACAAACGCAAGTAAAAATACATACGAGGACTCTGTATTTGTTGTTTTCTTATTGCTGGACCAATATTCAATTTCTTATCCTTATAATTAAGTTTTTTAGCCTAGAATTAAAGAAAGATTACATTATTTTCTACACATATCTAGGCATCCAAGAAACAAAAATCAGAAGTAGGTAAGGCACTTAGTATGTTTCACCCTCCCCTGCTTTTTATTTACAACGCATCTCAAAAAACCCCAAAAAAACCAAGAAAGCTGAACTAATACCTCTTCTATCCTATCCTTAGACTTCACATACTTGAAATTACTAATGAATAATTTTGTGTATTACTCCTCATCGAGCCTCTTGATTAACAACTGATACATATAATTGTCAGCAGGGTTTGTTTTTTTTTTTTCAGTTTTATAACTCCTGTATTTACTGCTTTTAAAAAAGCACGTGTACACATACGGACAATTTAAAGTATGAAGATTTTTTTTTTTAATTCTCATGACATTATGCTACAAAAGATGACAGGAACAAGTAAGTCTATGAAAATTGCCAGATTATAAGGATTGAATGCAAAAAAATTCCTATATTCACTAAGGGCTCCTTAAAACTTCCTTACATCCAGGCTAGCACAACATAAAAGCATGCTAAAACAGATATCCTCTCAGCTTAAAAGATGTCTGATAAAGATCTAGATGCTAACTGTATTAAGATGAATGTGAGATAGGCAGTATGATGCAAAGATGAGAAAGGTAATAGAATTATAGGACATCTAAATTAAAACACTTGGAGTAGACAAAAATGTATTACTATCATTGAATGAGACACCCGTAAGGTTTCACATGGAACAGCCTTTCAGTTACAAGAGGCAAAAAATCCTAAGCCATTTTTACAATGGTACTCAGTACCATCAGTATTCTTCTAGTTCACAAAAATAACAAAAACACAGGGGAAGAAAAGTAGTTGACTCAAGAAGTTCCTGTCTGTATACTCTTTTGGCTCCCCATAACCGTATTTTCTGAAAACGCTCTGAAAATTTCTTTGAAAGTGTCCCAGCTCTTATTTTTAATTTTAATACATGAATTTCTAAAGGTTCAGTATTTCAACATTTCAACCAGCTTTTTATTTGGGAGAAGGCAATTTGCAAGCCTTGGATACAATTTTCTGTGCGTTTTTTTTTGTGGTTTGTTTGTTTGTTTGCTAGGGTTTTTTTCCCCTGCACCCAGATACCGTCACATGTCTGACTACATCCCGACCAACAGATCTCTCCAATACATTCAAGCCAGAACATGGAGCGCACAAACAAAACAAACAAAAACTGAAGAGCCAACATACAGCTAAAGATCTAACTGTGTCTCAAGGGAGGTTCTATAAGGAGTGTTGAGACAGTAATGTAGCTAAGAGGAGAAGCAAAAGTTACATGACATACAATGAGCTTCCTTGTTTAAGACTTCAAGTGAATCTAATCGCTCCTGAAAAGAATTGCATCAGCTCTGACAATTAAATATGTCAGAATAAAAGACAGCAGGTACCTTCTCAACTCCCTACAAAATCTTGACAGCAATGGATTTTCTAGTAAAGCAAATGAAAGCACTTGTGAAGGACAGAGTACAGCTCTATATATAGCACGGACCACAGACAGACTAAGAAAGTGACAGTTTTAAGACTCAGCTTAACAGGGTGCTGGGCCATATCATTTAAACTATATTTTTACCTGGGAAGGTTGGACTAGATGATCCTTGAGGTCCCTTCCAACCTGGTATTCTATGATTCTATCAAAGTCAAGAGCTGTACTGACAACCCCCTTCTCTAGTTCCAGATCTCAGATCTCTCTAAGCCATTTTCTTAACTACACAGACCAAACTTAACAGATCTTCAAATGCAAGCTGGCAAACAGAAGAGGACCAGACAACCAGGGCTACTTAGAGTCTAATATGAAATTAAGTACTTCACTTGAAAGATAATCATAATGGGCCTATCACTTACCTCCTGTAAAATCTTCTGTGCATCTTCTTGTGTTTCAAAAGTAATGAAGCCATACCTAAACAAAAATTAAAGCAGCTAAGCCTGCAGCATATGTAAATACGAACTTCAGACTTTATTACTTGAGATATAGTACACTTGACATTAAAAGGTAAACTAGTGGGGGGGGAAATCGATCATAAAAATAAAGATTGCAGTAACAACCATAATTTTAATTTAAAATCCTTGTATAGTCTTCTTAGTAATATATTTAAAGTACTATGTTACTGTCTCTATACAGTAAATGAGTAGCCCATGCAGAAAGCTACTCAAAACTCTGTATTGTCCTTGTTACTCAGCACATGTCTAATTCCTTCATTTCTATTAAAACAGAGATTTTTGATCTGAAGCTCTTGCTCATTATGGGTGCCCAAGATGAGACACTTGGGACATTATTTTTTATTATACTGTACTTCATAGCACAGCTCACCTACTTCAGCAACGACTGTGAATGCCGCACACTTCCACAAGCACTATCCACTGTATTAAATTGAGTTCTCAGAAAAAGTACCAATGCAGAGATAGTGTTTATCTGTGAATTATTCTTGTCATTCTTGACATGACTAGCATTAAACAAAGAGCTCTGCAGTGATCAAGGATGAAGTATTCTCATACTTTGTGACACAGCATGACTTTCACCATGCCTCTTTAACTGCTGCAACAAATCAAACAGGCTTTCCACACAGAACTCCTGCTGTACCACAACACCTCAATTCATTCCCAGAGAAATCTAGGCTGCTGAATGCAGCACTGCCTGTGCAAAAGCACATATCTGATCTTACAAAGTCTGTACCACAACACATACATACAAAACAATTTTTTTTTTCCAAAATTAACTTCAACTTTCTGAATTTCAAAACTTTTTTGAAATGTTTTAGTAGTTTTGTATGCATAATTTGTTAGGTTCATGGCTCATTTCTCAGGGTCAGATTTCAGAAGATATCAAGAAAGCCTCTGTCATTCCAGTCAAGAGCGCAAATTTTGCAATAAAACATTTCTTTATGAGCATTTCCATGCTTATTTGAGTACAGAGTTCCAGTAAGTCACTGATCAGCTATATTTTTAAATCTGTAGGCTTTTTATGTAGAGCCTTCTTTAAATAAAGTTGGAAACATTTCAAAGAATCAGAAACTATTTTCCTAGCTTGGGACCTTACCTTCACAGACTTCTCATCTGGGCAATAAACTAACAGACATAACCAATCACACCAACTTCTAAGTTTCTTAAATCACTTGCCATCAAGAAGCAATGAAGCCCATGCTTGGGTTTCAACAGAAATCCCAACACCATTGAAAGTAATTATTTTCCAACATATTTACTGAGACATACGTTGGCAATCACAACTGCATAGTAATTGAATATTCTTGGGTTATTGTACTACATGGACACGTATACTGCAAGTCTCATGTATTTCTGGCAATTTAGTAAAAGAGAAGGGGCTTGGTGATGGACCTGGGACCAGGACAAAGTCCAACATGCCATGCAGGTGTATACTCTTGGCTAAGGTCTGCAGCTCAGTGTGTAATTTGATGATATATGTTAAGTGCTAACAGCATTAAAATTACGACACTGCAGGCTTACTGCTCAGAAGACAGCTTCTGAGCAACATGAACTTTACAAGTACAAGTTCTCATGCACATTCCTTTCTGTTTCAGCTCTCTTTCCATCCTTCTGTGGCAGTACAGTTCCTCACCTTATTTCCTTCACCATCCTTCAGGTTCTAGCAATAACTGTACTACCCAGTCTTAATCTTTTTTCAGATTTGCTCTTTAGCATTTCTCTTATTGTTGACTTCCACCCTTAGTCCCCTTTTCTGCAACCATGAGTCATTGTCAGTTTTGTCCCCTATGTTCTCATTCTAAAAAGCTTCATACAAAGTCTCAGTTATTGCCATGCACTCCAGCGCAATCAGGTGTATCTCACCTCTTCCTCCATTCCTAGGTTCCTTTCCACATTGGCTTTCAGTAGTAGAAATACATACGTTTAATAACTAAATTACCTTTTTAGGATTATCTACTTAAATTATTATTGTCATAAAAAAACCTGAAAGGACTATTGATTTTGTCTTAGTTGCACACAGCTCTGTCTTATAACAGCATGACTATAGTGTTTTACACTTATGCAAATTAAAGACATTTATATGTAGATGTTAAAGGACAAGAGCAGATTTTTGCATACACGGAATAACTGGGAACACCAATGGCATAAAATCAATAATATTCCAAACTGTAGAAATCAAATTTACTAGACAATCAGCTTTCTGTTATACTTTCAATTCCCACAACACACTTATTCTACTATACCAACCCCTTTGAAACTCCAGCTCTGTCATTTACTATCTTCACTTCTTTCACACTGCCAAACTGAGTAAAAAACTTCCTCAGATCATTTTCATTAGTCTAGTACAGTAAATCAAAAAGGGAAGAAAAAAAAAAGTTGGTTTGCATAGTTATTCAGTGAACATTTACCATCAGACTTTTCAGGGATATACTTTAGATACAGTTTGCTACAAACTAATTATAAGCTTGGATAGAAAGAGAGAAAAGAACGAGCATGTATGCACCTTGCAGCTTCTGTTTAGTTACTACATTTTCATCTTGAGCAATAATGCTAGAAAGCCACCAAAACATTAAAACTCCTCTTTTAGTGGATTTATGTAACAACTGTCCTTTTACAGGTAAGACCATTGAAACAGGTTTACGAGATCTGAATTTTAGTTTCTGTAAATTGCATACTAGAGCGCTGTTTATGATGTGAAACATCACTGCAATGTTTTCAAACTTCAAAAGAGCAGAGTAGGTATGCTTCCATAAAGGGTATGCGTAGGTCACATATGAAAAAAATTCCCACTAAACCACAGTGATTTAATGGTCAAATCCATCTAATACACCAAGATTCCTCTTTCTAAAGTATATTTAATAAGACTCTGCAAGTATGTATAGGCACACTGTAGGAACTTTTAACAGAGAATGGTCTAAATTCACTTGGAAAAACTGTTCACTTCTGAGCATGCATTTAGTAAGACAAGTTCCTATTGTAAAGGCACACCTAAGCTACGTGAACACTCGTCTACCTTCTGTGACTCAGTTCTCTTTTACAATGTAAGCATATATCAAATATGGTGCCTTAAACACCATCTTTCAGATTTTAGAGTTGTTCTACATGTTCCTTAGTTAATATTATACCTAATGCTAGAAGTATGCTAATATACACAGATCTCTACATGCTTCAAACAATTTCCATATTCATCTACATTTTGTTATTTTAAGGAGGTATATCAGAAGTACTATTTCACCTCCAAGTGAATGACTTTCATTGGTTTTAACTATATGTATTCAATTTAGTAAATCCTCTCCTGCATATCAAAGGCTTATCTGCCTCATCCAAGTCTGAGAAGCAAAAAGAACTTAAAAATAAACAAACCCTAATTTAAACAACCCTCATAACTCCAAAGAATACAAGGTTAATGCTCTGAGTAATTCTACCCTCAAGACACATTTTACGAAGAGTAGTAATGCAGCTTGCTTGCTACAGCCTCTGGGTCCAGAGAGCAAGGATGGTAGAAGACTGCTTTATGTCCCTTACTAGTCCAAGTATTCAGGCATTAAAACATTAGAAAATACTCAGCCTCTCTGAAAGTGTGATGAGTAACAACAGATACAAGTGCACTGAACAGGCATGAAACACTTCAATGGTTTACTAAAGCTCAGTAATCACACCCTCTCCTTGGAAGCTGCCTGCATCTGTTCTTGAGACACTACCCACCATGAACAGGTTAAAATCCTGGAGTCCAGAACCACTCTCAAATAGATGGTCACACTTTGCACCTAATTAGAAGCACGAGAGCCCGTGTACATAGGAAAACAGATTTATCAACAACCGATAGCTTATATAAAACAATTCTACAGCATGCGCTAAAGTACTTGCACGTTCTTGAACAACATGTATCAAGTACTAAAGACTCTTTTCCCTTAAAATTTTCTCTGATGAATACCAAAAGGTATCTGCTTAGAAACGAAAGGTCTATGGATGTAATTCCCCGTTTCTTTGAAGCTCCGTATGTTACACATAGCTCAATTGCTTCACAAAGCTGAGAAAAAGAACCTATGACAAAATAGTTGAAGGCTAAAATATACCAAAAAACAACCAAAGAGCCCAGAAGATTTATCAGTGCTGAAAGTGTCATTCAGTCTCAAGGACATGAGGGATGGCTACACAAACTATAAACTTGGAAAGCCAAAGGTTTCTCTGCAGAGCTGTATATTTAAGAGGAATAAGGAGGAAACAGTTCCAGGATTCAGTGAAATTAGCAAGTACCTGGATGAACACAGTATCTAGAAGCTTACCAGCAACACATTCAGGACTTGCCTTTTCCTGCTCATGGCAGGACAAAGGCACTTGTCAGTTTCTTCAGAAAGGATAAAGTTAAACCTTCACCTATGTCAAAGATACACGGCATACAACACAGAAGAAAGAGCTCTTCAGACCAAGATGAAAGTGTACCCAACTGTAACATCTTACTGAATTGTTTCTCTAGATTTAAAGAGGTTAGATGCTTCCTCTTACAAAGAGGAATTACTGCTATAGTCACAGACCAAATGGAAGTGTCTGGCAAAATTAAAAGGGCTTGCTGGAAAGCAAGTAATTTTTTGTTGAAAAGTGTCTTAGTTTTTCACAATAATAAATAAATAGCTTTTTTACCCCCCCCCCCAGTTGACTTGAATAAGACCTTTGGGCTTATGGCTTTTCACCCTAAGATTCCCAATAGAAAACAATCCAAGACGGACATATATCCTATGATTTAAACAGAAATTTAAGACTCTATTTGGTATCAAGAGTCATAGTCAATAGAAGAGTAGCTAAAATGTCTACAGAGGCTTCGTGCCTTCTATTTCCTCTCCCAATGAAATCCATCTTCTTTATGCTTACAGATAAAGACATTTAATCCCTCTGTTGTCAAGATTAAAATTCATAACAGACTGAGATATTGGCAATTGAACGAAGTCAAGAGAGCCTTCAAAATGAACAATAAATGACAATTAACAAGAGTATTGATACGTTATACAGAAAAGCATTTTAACCTTTCAGATTGCAGTTAAAGAGCAGAGTGAGACAGGTCTTTTTACAGCTCTAGTAATTTGTCTACTATTAATGCAAAAAACTACTGTGCCTCTTTGCTGAAGACCAAACATACCGAAAACCTTGTACAACATGTCTGGAATTATGAATGGCTCTATTTGAATTATGTCAGCCAAATGAGCCAGAAGATCCTGGAATTTCTTGTATTTATTATGCAAAATAGTCTGAGTGAATCATTATTCTTCCTCCTCTTCATCCCAGTCAGTGCTCAAAAGGTCCTCAGCCTAGGAGGACTAAGGCAGAAGAGACAGTCTTGGAGGGAACAAAGAAACAGCTAAGGAAGCCAAGAATGTTTTGCAGAAGTCAATGACTTAACTCATTATCTAAAGTGGTAAGAAAGAAAAAGTGAGAGTAGCTGGTATAAAGGTCTGGTGCATATCTTGTCACACATGTTGAAAGTGACTGAACAATGTAAGAATGGCTCAATATTCACTACTATTTGAGGTTTTTAGGGCATATGCAAAGGCACAAGCATTTTAAGAATTAAGATCAGGACTGCCAATTGCCCAGAGAAGCTTCAGTATTTTTCTTGAAACAAACACTCGCTTTTAAGACAATTACTATGTTGAGGAATACATGCACTGTAGCTCCTTTTTTGTATGAACCAGAAGAAAAGTGCAAGAAGAACTGAAGCTACTGACATTTGCTGTTTGCAATCTATAACATTGTGTTTACAGTTTATTAAATTACATTGTGTTATAGATAATACATTGTGTTATAGATAATAAAAAGCTTCTATGTACTTTTCTACCACAAGCTCTGCTGATGACAAAAGCCATCTTCTTTGAAGACAGAAAATTCCGAAGAACCAATACGTCAAAAGCTTCTAACAGCTATGTGTACATAGTGAACTTGGTAGTACAGTTATATAAATTAAGCCTAAAGCTTTATTCTCTACTGTTGACTTTAACATTATAGTGAAGAGCACTTACCACCTAAAAACACACATACACGTGATTATGTCTCACATTTTTTTCCTATTTATTTTTATGGGGTTCTAAATTATCATTTAGTAGTAAAATTAGGAAAAAATACCTTAAAATCAATTCCTCCTACAAAGATGCGATTTGGAGTAACTGTTCCAAACCTTGGAGCACTGGTCAGATTATTTAATGGCACTGGTGACATAGTGTTAGGACACGAAGATAAAGATTCTGTTTGCATCTGATTCGTGGTCTGCTGATTGAAAGAAAATATTTTCAGTATCTTACATGTTATAAGCTATTAAACAAAAAAATTCTCAACAGAAAACACGGAATTTTTTCAGAGGCACAGCAAATGCTGAACAACTGAACGTTAACCACGCTTTAATTCTGAATCCAGCTCAGCAAAGTATTTAAACGTAAGCTTAGTTTTAAGCAATTCAGTAACTTAGTGAATACACTATGGTCTGAAGTTTGACTTTTATTTTAACACCTTTCTGAATTAGGCACTTAGGGCCTAATCCTCCAATCTGAGTTTTTCTACTTGCACAGCACCCTGCTGTATTAATCCCAAACTATAAATTCTATTTCAGAGATTATTATACCTCCTGGAAGCCCCTTAGTTTAAGCCTATCTAGAAAGGACCTTTTCAACTCAACCTGCACTCTCACATACATCTACAAAACTCTCTGCAACAGCTTCTGCTTGATCTTCCAAGTGCCAAGCACCCATAATGCCACCACATAAAATCAAGCTCATTACAACAGATGAGAGCAGCACTTGGAAGACTAGTCTTTTAATTCAACAATCTCCTGGCTTACAATCACAGTACACAGTGATCTGAACAGAAATTCTCTCCGCAGAAGAACCACCAGATTGCTCTTGCCCCAGTAAAGGAAAGGAACACAATATAGTGGGAACTTCATGGAAACTATTTAGTGAAGTCTGCCTTATGTTTTAACTTTCACCATGCTTATACCCGTGAATTGTGAAACAACACAGGCTTGCATTTCATTGGAAGCCCTTTTCAGAACAAACTAATACTGCCTTACATAGCCAACCCTAACGGTGAGATGACAGCTGTAAAGCAGCCACATAGTACTGCCACTAATTTCTCTAATATGAATTGCAGTAGAGGCTTCAAGACCATTTTTGCTGTGGTCCCTCCCACTCCACCCCACCACTAAAGTTTACTAAAACCAATCCTGGCCTATAGTGCTCTGACAGTACCACAAGGACCCCGAAGTAAAAGACAAGAAGCCGCCACAGGCTGCTGCTAACAAGGCTAATAGTAAGCAGAATAGTAAAAACTAGAAGAAAAAAATAGGCGTTTCAGCCTCCAACCTTTGTTTTGAAAGTATTTCAAGGGAAATATGTTTTTTCTTACTATTATGTGACCCTTAAAGTTTGTAGTGAGGACCAAAAAACCACATGCAAGTATATTTTAGAAATAAAAAGCTGCTGCATCCAGTACAAAGTTCTTTTGCTTCTTGTGGTACACATTCCAGGATTAAAAAAAAAACCAACTTATCTTATCCCTCCTATTACTTATCCCTCCTACTGGGAACACTACCCTTGAGTAGAGCCTAACCAGAAAAAAAACCCACCCACTTGCTGGCAAGGAACAATCATATCACTACAGTCCCAAAGACTTTAAGAGGAATGTTTCTTCCTGAAAACAACTTTTGAAGGACAATGAAACAGGTCACTTTCTTCACCCCTCACACCAAATACGATATTCTACTTGTATAATCATCTGGCAATTGTGTATGGCACTGAAATATCCAAATTTAACTATGAAGTAACAACTAACAGTTGACAGTAGCACCAAAACATATTCCTTACCTCAAAGATCTCAAATTTCATTTTCTCCATACAAGTTTTAAGAGCTGTCTTATTAAAAACCAAAACAAACCCCAAACCTCAAATGGAAGAAATGAGGAATTAAACTCATAACTTGTGAACTCCCAATACAGTAAATCCCAATGAATTTTAAAATGTTAAAATACGCATTCTGATAGCTATCTCGAACATAATTTCCTCTCTTTAATACTAATATAGCAGTAAAACAGTATTAAAAAAAAAGTGTGCTAACAGCACGTCACTAGCCTAATGTGTTTCTACAGATTTTTAACCTAACTTTTTTATTACAAACAGTATGTTTACGTATATTCATCAGTATTTTTACAGGCTCTTCAGTGTGTTTGACAACTGCTTTTTACCAGATTTGATTAATCTTAATTTTGACGTTGAACACAGCCATAGTTGGTCAGGCAAGGTAACAGCACAAAGGCCTGTTGATTAATCCCGCCGTACTCCCTGAACAATCCCTTTTTTACAGCCCGTATCCTATAGCGTCAGAAATCAGGCACCCATCTCTCCCAGGGACCATGTACCCCGTACGCCCGAGGCACGGGGACCAGTTTACCGGAACGTGAAGCCACCTCAGAGCAAATGGCGGCATCGCGCGGGCAGGACCACAATCGCCGCCGACAGCGAGGGCGCTTTGGCGGGAAGGCCGCGCGCCCAC